TCAGCTCTGGCTAACCTGAGACGCGCGCGCGAGGTGCAGGCGGGGCGCTGTACCTGCGAGGAAGCAGACATTGACCTTTTGGAGGCGTCTACTCAGGCATGTTTCACCTGTGACCGCACTGGCGTACGGCTGCAGAAGGCCCCAGCGGGGCATCAAGCCTCTGCTCATGCCAGGCCCCCCGATGGCGTGGTCACAATCAGCGCCCCGCGGCCGTAGTTAGCCCCCGCCCGTCGCACACTGACGCGTCGGCTCACTGAACTTGCAGCACGGTCTTGCCGGCAGCCGTTGACCTCTCGCGCCTGTCCGAAGTTGGCGGCGAAGCGCTCTGGGAGTCGGGAATGGAGTCTGCTTGACCGAGCCAAGGCGTTTGCACGGGGCCCGCCGGGACCAAGCAGCCGGTGCGCACTGTTCGATCGTTTGGCCAGCAGCCGTGGCAGTGCCACGCAATGATCGCAGGGATCGTCACGTCCCGCCTGGCTGGTTACAGCGTGTTCAGACGCTGGGATCGGAATGGGGGAGGGGAGGCACGGAGGGAGGGAGGTCGGAGTGGCCAGCTCGACGGCCGAGCGCCCAGGGCCGCGAGGAGCGCGGTTGGGCAGTCGCATCGGGCCGAAGGGGACGGAAGGGTTGGGGAAGCGCTTCCGGGCCACGGCGCTGATGTGCGAAATTTCGCCCAGCTGATCTCCTGGGATGTGGGCGGGATGGGTTGATTGTCACCGGCGCAAACGCTTGCCACTAGCCTCCACAGCGACGTCCTGCGCTTGACCCGCAGGCTTCGATGCTTCACCGTTTGGTCGCGCACCCTCCCGGCGCCGGGTTCGGCCTCCCCCGCATTTGAAAACTTTGGTCATCACCCTCCTCGCGCGTCGAATCCTCAGCACTTGTCCGTGGGTGCTCGGTCGATGACACGTGGGCACGTGTTGCGGCGCATTGCGTTCACAAACGGGGCCCTGGGGGTCAGATGGCTGGGTCCAGCGTGGTGCGGGCCGCGGTGCGGCGGGCTGGCTCGGAACCAAAGCCAGAGCTGTCATGCCGTTTGTAAGCTCTGCCGTGCGCTGACCGCCTTCCTCGGGGTGGGACGGGGACGGGACAGGGACAGTATGTCGTCGTTGTACGCGGTGACTCCGATACATCGATACAGTGGGGCAACCTTGACAAACAATTTTGAACTGAGTTGATTGGTGCTGTGCGAGTCCCCGCACATTTGCTTGGGGCTTACGGAACTTCCCCTGACGCCGTAGTTCTTGGTTCAGGGTCTCGAAGTAAAGGTGCAGCAAGCGTCGGCAAGGCTTTGGCAACCCCAGGTGTGCGGGACAACTCGGACACGCTGTGCTCCTAGACTAGCATGCCACCTCGGTGTGTTGCGCTCGGATGCGCCACTCAAATTTCGCTGAGAATGAACAAGCGAATATGAGGCGCAAACTGGGGAGTTTGGGCGCCTCACGGTGAGCCACAGCATGGCAACAGGGATCTGCATGCCACTTGCGCTGTGGATGTCTTGCGGTCACGTACGGTGTTTCGTGAGGAGAGATCACGCGTGCTGGTGCGCACCGAAACAATGTGCCCCATAATTCGAGGGTAGGCGTGCTCTGCGGCCTGACGGCATCCGATGCAACATCCCGCAGCCCGGAAGCGTACCACTCCCCCAAGGTCATTGCAACCACCTTGGCACCGACGATGATCGAGGATCGCCGCGGATCCTTGAGAACCAACCGCCTGGGCCGTACCCCTCCCTCGTGGGGCACGCTCCAGATAAGCCCCTGGCATAATCGCCTCTCGCCATGTTTTCCAGGCCCCTCCACATCGCCTCCGGCCCCACTGTCCGGCCCACCCACCCCACCCCCCCAGCGGCCCCCAGAGGAGTGGACCGAAGCCGGAGGGGGACCCACGGGGCGCGAGGCGGGCTGCACCGCCGGGCGCCGCGCGGCCTGATGATGCGCGGCGGCGGAGCCGAAGACCTCCTCACAGGTAAGGGGCCCGCTACACGGATCGGGCGCGCGGCAGTGGGCGTCCTCGCCTGCACCCGCCGGCGCGAGTCGGCGGAAGGATTTGCGAGACCTGCGGATCAAATGGGGCGGATCGGGCGCGGTCGTAGGCACTTTTGCCCGAACCCGGAGTCGATGTGTACGAGCGCACCTCCCTGGAGCGGAGGCGGGCGGTGGATGGCTTGTGGACGGGTGCCTGCGGTGCGTGGTGGCCTTTGCTGCGGCGGAATGCGCCCGGCGGCGGGCGGCGTCGGCGCGCTGCCAGCGGGTTCTTCGGCTCGCGGGTGCACGTGGACCCTCGCGCGCTGGCGGCGCTGATCGCTAGCGACTTCGCGGGGAAGAAATCGCGCTGTCAATATCCTCCGCCGGCTCACCTTGACAAGGCCTCTGACGGTGCCCTTTGGTTGCGGGGAGCTCTGGTTTGGGGTTTTGGCGACGGTTCCGCTGAAGGGCCTCGAGGTGTGAGAGCCCACCGGCGCCCCTTTGTTGGCAACTGGCAGCCAGCTTTACCCCTTACCTGGCTTCCCCGCCGTCCAACACGACCATGCCCTCTTATACCTTTTTCTGAGAACATGCCCGTTGCTTTTCTTCTGCCGCCACCTCGTGGTCCTGGCTCTGGTGACGTGCCACCCGGCCGGCAGAAGGTGGCTTGCGCAGTGTTCGATGGTTCGGGGCGCACGCGGACCGGCCGGCATGGATCCTCTCGGGCATTCTGGTCACTGCCCGCCCTTGCTCGCCGCACTCGTGCCAGAACATAGGCATGTCGGCTGCCCGACTCAAGCCTTCCAAAATCGACGCACGAAGGGGCGTCTGGTGATGAAACGAGACCTTCCGGGCATCACCTGCGTGCCCATATAGTCGTCAAGAGACGTCATGGAAACGGTCCGCGCAATTGTTTGGCTCGCGAACCCGGCTGCCCAGGAACCCAAGCTGGCCCATTCCTCGGTAACGCAGACGCTGGGCGCCATCTTGCGGCCGTCCTTGTTGCGTGTGCGCCCAAAGCATCCACACGAACGGGCGCCAGCGGAAATCATGCCCGTCTTGCCTGCAGCAGACCAGCAGACAATCGAGGACTAGCAGGGACGGCGCCACCGCCGCTGGCCTTTTCAGCTCCCATGCGCTGTCGGTCGGCCCGTTCTGCGCGGGCTGCGTGACCGGCAGTCCGGCGCGTGTTGTCGCCCAGGTGGGCGCGCTCTTCGCTGCGGCGGCGCAACGGGAAAGTGGCATCAAATTGGGCAGCCGTCTGACCCCTCATTGCCTTGTTCTGTAAAAAATCATGATGATGATGATGATGATGACCCCCTGGCGCTAGGAATGATCGGTCGCTGATTGGCGGCCGTCAAGCGGAGTCGTCACCGCATCGTAAGAGCATCTTTATCGGTCGGTGCTATTGCACCGGCTGAGCTATCCAGAAACGGTTCTCATTGGCTGCTGTGTCACCTTACTAATGCGCCATTTGCCGAATAGCACCCGTGCTATCGCTCCCCTACGCGCATCCGCAATGGCGGGTGCCATTCCTACGCCAAATAGCATCACGGCAGCACTACAATGTTTTGCGCGAATAGCACCAGAGCTATTCTGTGGTGCTATTCGGCCCCGAGCGGTGCTGTTCGGGGCCAAAATATCGCCGAATAGCTCCGGGGCTGCTATTGGGGTCCTATTGCTCCCCAACCGGTAATGATGATTTTTTGACGTGCGGTGCTATTCGGATAGCCGAATAGCTCCGCCGGGACAATAGCACCCACCGATAAAGATGCTCTAACGCAACGGACGTAGCGGAGGATTCCCGTAACGGAGGATGCCCGTAACGCTGCATTTGAGGGGTGTTTGGCGATGGATGTTGTTGCAGCTAGAACTGATTGAGTATTATTAACATCTGAATGCATGAAAAGATGATGAAGCACTAGGAATTGCATTAAGGACGTTGATGAACGGACTTAGTATAAAGGACAGAACGCCTGTTGTCCTTTTGCCTCGGCTGTAAACCGTTGCCATAGACTCGAGTGTCCAATTCCCTTTCAGGGTTCGCCAGCTCTCGATGGTGCTTGCCTTCTGAAGATATCCATCTTTAAAAGACTGATGGAGATACATTTTCGCATTTGAATAATACTCAAATACAAAAATGCAAATCCACGAGACACTGAACTTGGCGTCCAGGGAGTCTGTGCGTCCGTCCCTTCATTGGGCATTCGGCTTTGGCAGTCAGAGTGCAAGTGCCCGAGGTCATGCATTGCGACATGCCTCTGACGGACCCTTAATGTGACACGCTCTTGCTGAATGCAGCCCATGTGCACCTGAGCATTGCAGCCAAACGGCGCAGATCTTCTAGGTCCGTCAGTGGAAACAGCAGACTCACCTGTTCGTTTGAATATCGAGTCCTGTAGATTGGGCCTCCCCTGGGTCTTTCCTTTCTCTGTGCATCCAATCAGAAAGGGACTCATCTCCCAAAGATAACATCATCAGCCCTTCTCCTTTCTGATGGGAATTCCTGCTCTGGTTTTCTGCCAAACTTCCCATCCAACCATATAGCTACGGATTACAGCTCAAAATGGACTGAATCTGCAGGTGGAATTTCTGCTCCTGATGGTAGCCAAGTGTGCATGACAAGACAGCACGTAGCCTCTCCCAATGGATGGGTTCTCAATTCCACATCATCTGCTGCTGTGCGACTGGGCAGTGGTGCTGAACTTGTCGTTGTAGAATGGGTTCACTCCCTCACCTGACACTTCAGCTTGTGATCTGTGCTTCTTTCTTATTGCATATGTATGTGTCTGCGGACATCATTCCCAACACACTCTGGTACAATACTAGAGCCTTTTTGATGTTTTGATTTTGGCTCTATACCCTACCTACTGTGGACCCAGGATATGAGCAGAAAGTGAAAGTCATTGAGTGGTTGCCGCGTATCTGGTGATCTTCAACTGGGTGACTCATCGAGCTTGTCAGTGCATGCCGCAGTGAGAGGCCTGCATCAAAGGGGTTTGGAGCCAACTGTCAACTCAGCAGTCAGCCAACATGCCTTCGCCTGGCTGCTTCCCATTCAAAGGAATCTTGCTGAATGGTGGGAGCACAGAGGGTGCTCGCCTGGCCTCAGTTCAGGTCGGTTGTCTTGGGACCATGCACTACACACCCCAACTTGTTGTTGTGTGCTTGGCACACTTGGCCTCCATGGTGAACAGCCTGAATGCATTGAGCATGTCATCCTGCATCGCTTTCAGGCTCCCAGGCAAGGTTCAATTCTTTCCTCTGGCCCTCATGGACCACGCTCGCCCAGTTCGCGGGCCGGGCTTCGAGGCTGTGGACATACTGGAGATCAGCTCGCACGGGACGGAGGCTCTACACCTTGTGGTGCCGACACTCCCTCTGAGCTGATCAACAACAGCAGCTGCACTCGTACCAGTGTTGCCAGCCACTTCGCCTCGAGTCCCATCCGCCGTGCATGCAACGCCTCCTCGCCTCGCGTCTCTTTTGCGCCGGAGGGGTGCGCCAACTGTGCGACATGCTCATCTTGTGCCTGATTAATGACGCCTCCTTTGTCCTCAGGATGACGGCTACGCGCCCAGCTGGGCCGACCTTCCCGCCGACCTCCTGGACCGCATCCTCCGCATCGACGCCGATACTGCCCCGCTCCCCACCCACCTGCGCGGCAGCGGCCGGCCGCCCTCCTCCCTGCAAGCCGCCCACCTCGTCAACCGCCACTGGTGCGCACGCGCCAACGATGCCGCCCTCTATCGCCGGCCCTCCATCCACATTCCCAGTCCCCTGACCCTGCCCTCCCTGGAGGCCCACATCGCCCGCCGGTTTGTTAACCTTCACGGCCTGCAGCTCCACCGGCGGGAGGCCATCGGCGACCGCGCTCTGGCGGCCCTGAGCTGCCTGCCGCTGCTGCGCCACCTGGACGCCAGCCACTGCGCCAGGGTCACGGATGCCGCCCTGGGGCGCCTGGCGCGCCTCACCCGATTGTCGGAGCTCGTTCTGGAGGGATGCCGGCGCGTGGGCGATCCCGGGGTCGCTCACCTCGCCGAGCTGCCCCTCAGGAGCCTGAGCCTGGCGAGGTGCAGGATCACCGATCGCGGCTTGGGGGCGATCTCATCGCTGACGGAGCTGGCCCGACTGGACCTACAGGGCTGCGCAGGGATAGGGGACCAGGGGTTGGGCGCTGTGGCGCCCCTGACTGGTCTCACCCACCTGAGCCTGCGGGGGTGCCACAGGGTGGGCGATGAAGGCGTCCGCCGCCTGTCGTGCCTCGCCAGTTTGACGCACCTCAACCTGCGCGGTTGCTGCCGGATAACGGCGACCGGCGTGGCCCGCCTGGCGCAGTGGACGAACCTGACCTCCCTGGACATGGGTGGATGCTCCTCCCTCAGGGACGACGCCGTGGCCGCCCTGCAGCCGCTCACCCGCCTCGCGGCGCTGCAGCTGGTCTCATGCCACGGCGTGACGGATGCCGGCGTGGAAATGCTGGCGTCCTTGTCCAGCCTGACGCGCCTCGAGCTGGAGGCATGCCCGCGGATCGGGGACGCGGGCCTGATGGCCCTGGCACCGCTGCTCGAGCTGCGACACCTGAACCTGAGGATGTGCCCCAGGATCACCGACGCCGGCGTGGTGGCGCTCACCGGGTTGACCAACCTGACGCGGCTGGACCTGAGGCAGTGCCGGGGGGTGGGGCGCCGGGCGGTGGCGGCCGTGGAGGCGGACGCCGGGGGTCACAGGAGGCGCGTGGAGGTGCTGGTGGGGCGGGGCAGGGCCCGGCTGTCCTGGATGCGCTCCTGAGGCCGGTCCCGCGGGCCCGGGCGCGAGTCCAGCGGGCCGCAAGGAACCTGGCGGTTTGGCCTCCGAGGCCAACAATGTTTCGGGAAAAGCAGTACAAGATTCAGCACGCAACAGTAATGCGCTGTGCCGCTTTTCCGGATCACGCCGGAAATGCACAATTTCGTGACCGACTGATTGATTGATCGGGAGCGGGGACATGGTGGCTGGGTCCTTGGTTCGGTGTGCGAGAATTCTTGGCGGTGGAAATGGGCTGGGACCCGTGGCGGGGTTGCATAGACAGAGGCTTTGAGGGCTCTTCCCTCGTGTCGTTGTCTTGAGGATGGAGGGGTAGGTGCGGGCCATGGGATGCAGTTAGTTGTCGATAAGCTGGGTTTTCGATCTAGGCTAGACTCACCTGTTTGGTATGTTGGAATGGCGCCCGCTGTGGGCTGCGGATTGTCGATTATCAGCAATACAGCGACGTGGCACAGCGTTTTCCTGAACTTTACAATTCATAGACGGTGGGGATGCAGGTTGCTGCCCCCTGTTCGTGAGAGCATGCGAGAGTGCGTGGGCCTTCTGCAGGCTCGCCTACAGGCGCCTTTTGGCAGCCGAATTGAGATGATTTAATGGCTAAATTAGCGAGCTATGACGGTGGGGGCATTTTGCTGGAGAGTCTCCATGAAAGGGTTCATGGGCTGTGAGATGAGGGTGGCGGTGGGTGGATGGTGGGTGGGGCCAGAGGCAGAGGCAGAGGCAAAGGCCGAGGCAGAGGCTTCCCTGTTGATTGGTTTGTTTTTTTAAGTCTGTGTTCTTTGAATACGTGATCATCTGATGCTGTTGCTCCTGCCAGCGATGTCTGGCCTTAGTCAGAACACAGGCAGCCCAGAATTCCATGTCCCTAAACGCGAAACTGCAGATCAGTACCATCCAGCCTGGTTTTATTGCCGTTTGATGGACGGTTGGCCTCCTCACCTGATCTTAAACACTGGAAACAACAGAACATCCTCCATGATTACCTTGTAATATTACCTGCACGCTCCTTGGGGTACCACACCCCAGGTTGGCATCAACGACACGGCGTTGGTTACTTATTGTCTACCCCCAAACCTGCACACCTCGCATTATGTATGGACCGGTCTTATCGATACCTCAGGGAGGAGGGACGACGGTTGTTGGTGCCCGAGCTGCCTCAGGCCGGTTGGAAGTACTTTGGGGGCAGGTAGGGAAATTGGTGAAACGCTGATCAGACGTGGAGCCCGTATCCTGCAAGAAAGGGTCCCGCCGGGACGCAGGGAGGCCTGACAGTCCTGTTGGGGCTTCCCGCGCCATGCAGTTTTCGTTGTTCCAAGGCCGACTTTGCTTGATCCAAGGGGCCGGCGGCGGGATTTCTGAAATCAAGGGCGTACACCCTGCCAGGTCCACGATTTGGGGCCAGCATCCTTGATCCGGTGTTAGTACCCGTCGCTCCGTGCTTGGTCCCTGAACGCGAATGCTGACACGGGATGCGTGTTTATGCATATGCCGCGACTGCGCTTGCTGGTGGCTGGTTCCAACATCAAATTCTCTCCTGGGCAGAAGGGCGACTGCGGGCCTCCGGGAACCAAGCCCGCAACCCAGTCCAGCCACGCTCCCCTTCCCGACCACACCCAAGAGCCCGCGCTGCGAGCGCGATCATACCGGCGTTCCGCCGCCGGGGTCATTGCCTTGGTCCCCAGGTGGGCGAAACGAGAGGACCTGAAAAGTGCGCCTAAGCGTCGGGGCCGAATGCTTCGGGTCTTGGCTCCGCGTCGAGCGGGGGACGACAGGCGCGTGGCCAAGGCCTGAAGTGCTGCAAGCAGCGCTGAAGCGCGCAGGACGGGGCGGGGCAAACTGTTTTGCACGTTGTCAGGGATTGCCAATGCGTGACGGAAGGCCAGTTGCCAGGGTCCCGTGTGCGTTCGCCCCTCCTGGCCGGTTTTCCGGGTTGCGCATCCTGGGTTGCTGCACACGCAGAGTGTGGATGCCATTGTCACTGGGCGTGAAGTTTGGTGCTGGGCTGTAGTTCAGGACCCATGTAAGGTTGGCAAATGGCCGAGGAATTGGACGATGAGGATGCCATCAACATTCTCGACGACCTCTTGGCTGAGGACTACCTGGCGCTTTCTCCAGAGCCTCCCGAAGGACACGAAGGCGAGGGAGGGAGGAAGGAGGTTGGGGAGAAAGAGGAAGGGGCAGAGGAGAAAGAAGAACTGGCTTTGAAAACTGATGGTGGGCCCAATGGCTTGTGGCACATTCCTCAAGGTTTGGGACTTGTTGAAAGATATGCACCGCCCTTTTAATCAGGGCACCATAGGCAAAGTTCTTGATTGAGTGCCTGCATGATAGTCGGCAAACCATTGGGCATTCGCTCGCCCACAAGGCAGCAAGAGGCGAGACAACCACACAATTATTGTCAAGTGTCACATCACATACGAAAGACTCAGCACTGTGATGCGGTTCATTCATTTTCATTCAGCTGTGTTCATCAGTGCTTCAATGGCCAACTACCTTGTAGTGGGAGTGCATACTCAAAGGCAGGACATGTGGTTCTGCCACACAAGTGTTCTGTTAATTACCATGGATGTGTCTGGTTCGGTACCGGGAAACCAATGAAATTTTGCAACCAATGTATTCTCAGTATAAGCCTGTCAGCGCAACCTACTCAGCAAATTTTGGGCTGCAACTTTCAGCTGAGTTGACAGGACTGTGCCCTTGTCGCTGGCAAGTTGTTGCAACAGAGGAGGACAATGCATCTCCAAAAGAAACGGCCACTGAGGAGCCACAAGTGCAGGCAGTGGCGGCCCCCTCCGCTGCTGCGAAATCTTTGGATGCTGCCCCCCATCGTGACAAGAATGAAGAGAGTTTGAGCACTCCCAAACAATGGATCAGCGGCCCAGTGTCTGGACTACCGCCAGGAGAGGTGAGGCACACGCACCCCGCCCATATCAGCAATGTCCAGCAATATTCTGTGGCTTGCCAGTTGTGTGTTGTTGAGATGAAGGGTCAAAACGAGTGAGCAGGGCGAGTGGAAGTGTTCTAGCGTGCACCACACGGTCACCTGTTGGCGAAAGTGAACGAAACAGCCGCCTTGAAGGCAGCAGCCCTGGATTGCTGTGGACTGGCCCATAGGATAGGGTCGCGGTGATGTGCACAGTGCATCCAGCAGACGTTGCTTTTCTGCCTTTTGCAAGATCTCATTTGTCCTGAATGTGATTGTGGGTTATCTGCAGTCTGCCTGCCAACCTTCCTGCCAGATGGTCTGCTGCTTGCCAGCTGTCAGAGCCAGCAAAAGCGAATAAGCAAACTGGTCAAGTGTTGCTTTTACCTAAGAAACACTCTCAAATTCCAGGTGGTGAATGACACTGGTGTGGCTCAACAGAAAGAAATGCGTCCCAGGCCGGGGTTCATTTGGTACTTCATTATGAAGAGCAACACCATCGCCAACATCGACAAGTCTGTGGAGCATGGTGTGTGGTCCACGCAGCCCCACAATGAGGCTAAGCTAAACTACGCCTTCCAGGAGTCGGACGAGGTCCGCCTCATCTTCTCTGTCAACCAGAGTGGCCACTTCCAGGGGTACGCCCGGATGGCGTCCCACATCCACCGCGGGCCCAAGTCCAACCTGTGGGTTGGCTCCGCCTGGGGGGGGCTGTTCCAGGTGGAGTGGCGCTGCCGCTGCGACCTCTCCTTCTACAAGGTGGAGCATCTGGTGAACCCATTGAATGAGGGCAAGCCCGTGAAGATTGCCAAGGATGGGCAGGAAGTCCAGCGCGAAGTGGGTGATGAGCTTGTGCGATTGATGGAGGAAATTGCTGGGCAGGGAGAGGGCAACCCACTGAGGCAGCAGAGCCACAGACCAGTGCACTGGTGGCCAGGCGAAGGCCGTGGCCAGAGGGTTGATTCTGGGATGGAGAAAATGTGTCAAGGTGTGGATCGGTCCAGGGATTGGAGGTCAGGCCACGGTGCGCTGGGGAGGAGCACAGGGTTGATGACTCCACCACATGAGGCTGAGTTGGAGAGCCTTCGAGGGAGGGTGAGGAGCAGGTCTGATGAGGGCTCCCAGGGCCCAGGCAGCCCCAAGCGGGCGCGAAAATCGCTGCGGAGCTCGCCAGGCCCCGGCGGGAGACTCTCGCCAGGCGGGGAGGCACAGGGGAGGCAGGTCGGCCGGTCGCCGGACCGGGGATCTTCACAACAGGAGGGGGGCCCACCGCACGTGTTTGACCTGACGTACGACCAGTACCTGGACTACTACTGCAAGGTGCAGAGCAGGATATCGGATCTGTACAGCAGCGGGCAGCTGTTCGGGGGCAGCGAGAGGGGCAGGTGGCATGGGTTTGAGGGTAATGGCCATTTCTTGAAGCCACATGGTGCAGGCATCGGACCAAGCCATGCCAATGGAAGAGCTGGTCCAGGACCCATGTCAGAGGCACAGTAAGCGACCCAGGGGCTATGATTGTGCCGTTAGCGTGTCTGCGTAGTTTTCGATTTGTGCCTCTTCGACGAGGATCAAGGAAATAGGGCATTCGCTGAAAGATGCAGGGGCCAGTGATGTGGCTGGATTTTCTGTATAGGACCGATTATTACCCCATGGTCAGCTGTGCATCATCTCCAAGCAAATCCATTATTTTGCTTTGGGGTGATGAGCCCAGTACTTTCTCTTCTTCAAGATTGCCAGCGTGTAGATTGGCCAGTACAGTTGCCCACTGTCGTCAGACCACAATCCAAACACTGTCAAGAGAAGATTGTACAACTGCCATTCGTAGTTGGCGCAATGGCACTTGTGCAAGTCTTGCCATCCTTTCCATACCCTTGTTTATGACACTACTGGTGCGAAATGCAACTGTTTGTACAAAACATACTGGCAACATGTGAACCAACTGATCTTGTAGCATGCCTCAAAAGAAACAGGCCTCTTGTCAGCACAAGCGGGTTTGATTTGAGAATGAAAGCTGCAGCGGCCACATTCCTGATATGCTGGGAAGATTAGGACAAGTAGTGCTGGTGAGCTGCAAGTCCTGAGGCAACGCCCTTGTTTACATCCTTGCCCTGCCAGAACCTGATATCCTTGGATTAGGAAACAGCTTGTGGGGAGCCCTTTTGCTCCATTGACTCACAATCACCAGCGACGATGTTTTGAGGCAATTGCCAGGCACCTCTGTGAACACTATCGCAGTCTTGAGTCAAGGCAATGCAGTTGCCAGTCAGAGCGTGCACGCAGCCATTGGCGCGTGTATGCGTGAGCTAGAATCAGATCTGGGCGTGTCAATGCCTGGATATGACTCTGACTGGGTCCAGCAAATGAATAGCAGAGGTGGACGAGTATCAGGGGATAAGCAGCATATAGGCATGGCGGCATTGGGCCAGTTGCCCTTTTGGTCTAGTGTTGTTCCAGGCTGAGAAGTTGTATATGAGAGGCACATAGTTGACTTGAATTGAATCAAGTGTGTTTGTCATCTGCATCGATGAGGGTGTGGGAGTTTGGCTAGATTTTTGTGGATCCCCAGCAGGTCCCTCTTGCCCCAGAGAGCGGTGCGTGGGTACAAGGCATTGGAACGATTTTGATTGATTCTCCTGTGACAGAATTCTCTTGTTTCACGTGTGGGTATGTACTGTCGGTTGAGGCATGCGGACATGCCACCTCTGGAATGGCCGTGAACACAGCACTGTTGACTGAGCACACTGAAAAGAGTGTAGTGTTTTGTTGTTGATCTTTCAAGTCATTAGAGCATTGCTAGGGCATGGGATGCAGTGAGCACCAGGTAGGCTAAATAGCCGCTGCTGCCCCCACGCACTGTCAGTTGTGTGCTCACTGGCATTGCATTGCCTACAACTGGCGCTTACGTTTGGGCTGGACGGTCACCTGTCGGCCATGTTAGCTACCTGTCCTTGTGGAATGCACAATTCTACACGACAATCTGTGGGGGCCTCTAACTCGAGTGTCCTCCATGACCGGGCTCCACGACCGGACTATTGATGCACTTTGCTGGGCAGTTTTTGGGCTGCGCAGGCACATTTGCCAGAAAGGCTGTTGATGTGATTGTGAGATCATTGGCGCTCGTTTTCGCATGTTGTGAAGCTGTCTTAATTGTTAGTTAAAGTTGAAGTTTCAGTTCCGTTTGAAATCTCTGGTATTTTGTTAACTGAGTTTTGATCAACGTGCGCCTCATTCTTCAGGCGACGCTCCCATTGATGTCGCAGCTGATTCCCAGCCGCCTGGATTGACCTTCACGGTGTAGAATAGTGATGTTTCAGGGCGTGCCTGTGCCCGTCCCTGCGCCTAGGGGTATAATTTGCTATCTCCGCTTTGCGTGCACATGAAGAATGCTGGTTGTAGGCGCTGGCACCCCAAGATCGCCTGCAAGATGCAAGCGCAGCACTGTCCAATTTTCTGACTAATGTGACACAAGCAACTCCGACCGGCGGCCGCTGGAATACGGTTGGCCATGTCGCTGATCACGGTAAGCAGGTGTCCGTGGCGCGAACATGTGACTCGGCTCTCGTTTGTGCTCAGGTACGTGGAGTACTGCGCCAACTACTTTCGCCACATTGGCAGGCCCTTCAACAAGGAGCTCGTTCGGCAGCACTACTGGCGCATGCGAAGCCAATACGACCGGCAAATGTTCCCGAGGAGCGGAGGCTGATGCGCACTTCTGACTCGAAGGGTTGCCATCGCGGAAGCCCAAGTGTCCTCATACTACTGGTTGCTTTTAGGGTTTAGGGTGTAGGGTTTAGGGCTCCCTGGAGTTAGGTTGCCAAGGAAGGATGCCGGAGCTCTCCCTTTAGCTTCTTTAGCTTGTTTCAGAGGGTGAGCTGCCTTCCCGTTGCCATGCGCATCTCGAAGATGATCGATGTCCACCGCATGCAAAGCAACGATGCCTTGCATTGTCCGCCAACGTCCGTTGTTCTGTTTCCAGCTGGGAATGTCTGAAGTCACAACATTGGCGGGGTTGCGCGGTCTTCAGAGTGTGGCTTGGTCGAGGGGGTATGTGCCTGGGCGGGGGAGTGTGACTTTATCGGAGCTACCGGGTGTGGATGTGTGTTGGCCGCGGCGCAACTGTAACTCGCGTTTAAGCGATTGAACACCCACAGTTTTCAGGCCAGTGCAGCCACTAGTGAGTTGTTTTTTCTTCCGGAACACAGCGCCATTAGCACCTCGTTGTCATGTTGGACAGCTTGATTGCAGCTTCCGCCGGGCTACAAACGATGCTCAAGAG